CAGAACATCGTCAATATTACATGAACGTTAAAGTCATCGTTAATATGTTACATACTTGCGAGATAAGCAAAAATTTTAGGGGGATTGTCCAATTTTGGGGTTCTTTGACGGGATTTATATGGTGACGGGATTTATATACGACATATATATTGGGTTATAGTCGTTTGTTCCATTTGACTGCTTTTCTACTGTCAACAGAATCTTCAGTCAGTTCACCAGTTTTATCTGTTCAATTGTGTCAAGCCTTTAACGTACTACCAGTACTAACAATAGTTACTCAGTGCTGTCATCTATTTCTTCAGTTTTTACAGCACTAGGTATCTCATCAATTTCTTCTTAAAAATCTAATGTAAATAAGTTGGTCATTGTCTGGGCATAGTAAAATAATTATCACGTGCTATACTTTTATTGTTATACTTTTATGCAACCAATAAAACGTATTTTCAACATCTGACTGAGATTTCCACAAAGTATTAGCTCACCATTATTATTCAATAAACCGAGTTTTGGCTATCACTTTCTCGTTTTACGTTTTTGTGAAAGTCGCAGAAACATTGCTTATTGTGTTAACCAGCAATAATAGAAGTAGCTAAGCTATGGTGTTTGGAACAAATTTAAGTATAGTTAGCTTGACCTCTTTCATATAAATTCTGCTAATCTCATGCATGATACGAGTTTCCCGCGATTTCTTCGCTTGCCTCTCCCAAAGAAATCTGCATTTGTTCGGTGCCATGACTTACTATTACTGCAGGTAAGCTCAATAATAGAGTAGCTTTATTGATTTCATCTCAGTTTTTTACTGTAAAAACTTCGTATTCCTCAAGAGTGCCACTTGCAACGCTGCATGCAATTCCATAGCGATTACATCCTGATAAATTTGAACTCCATGTTTGTTGATTTATATAAAAGTTGCTACCAAAAAACGGACCATAACCGTTGTAACGTCGACCACTGAGGTGAACGCATCTGCCAATCCGTGCTCCTGCGGTCGACCTTCCATCAGAAATCTCAAAAATAAAACTATTATCTGCACCGCTGTAACATGAAGTGATGTAATTTTTATTAGAATCACTCCAAGATGAAGGATTATAGCCGCCAAATATATTTGGATGATTCATAATTTTTGCAATAACAACAGTTGGGCCTTTGGAGGAGCACATTCTGCGAAATCTTTGATTGTCAAATCCATCACGACTCGCCCGATAGATAAGTGTAAACTTGTAGGAAATCTCGTCGTAGGCGGCTTTCTTACAACCAATACATCTAGCAATAAAAGCCATGACAGAAGGACCAACTAGTTTCGAATCTAGCAATCCGGCTCTAGCTCTCGCCATAATATGGTTCGGTCTTCTGGACGGTAGCATGATAAATTGCAACATTTCTTCCCTTAATTTTTTAGAGAATAGTTTTTTGTATGGCCTAACTTCGTCATAATATTCGTCTGCAGACATTGTAAAAAACCGAATGTGTTTAATAAGACCGGCCAGTGTTTTCTTCATTCGATTCCTGCCATATGTCGGCCATCTCGTTGGAGGGTATTTTAATTTTGGATGTCTGGTTGCGCCCCATTTCAAAACACATTTCCACAATTCAACTTCTTTCATACGTAATTTATCTTGCTCCAATATCTGAGCAAATATGTCTTCTTCCAATGTCAAATACTCATCAGAGTCGAACAGATTTGTACGGTTGCCACAAATTTCATCAAGACAAAACAGTCTAAGCGCTTTGCACGATTCAAGTCGGAAAATTGATTGAAGCACTCGGACTGGTTGTTCAACTATGAAAGATTTTCTTGATTCAATTAGATAATTTTGCGCAAAGCGAAGTAGATCATCCAAATTCAGTTCATCCGATGCAACTAGCAATTTAAGAATCTGAAATCCATCACACTTTTCTATATCCACTTCTCCCGTATACAAATATCTATAACGTCACAGTATATGACATTAATCCGTTGAACAGAGATGATTTGCTCCATACATTGCACTTTACCTTAGAATAATTTCAAACACATTGGCCTCGATGTTTGCTTTTTCAAAAACATAACAATAGCCTTTCTTTTTGAGCAATTTTTTGGATAGTGCAGCTTGAAAATATGTTGATTGAGCACACAGTATTTGAGAATGTACTTTGAATTCTTTTCTATCTTGTTTGTGACCTGCATATAAAGCGAGGTCAAAGTTTTCGCTACTTTCGAATAGCTGCGCAAAATTATTTGAATGCCGAGGATAAAAATTTTTGGACATGTTGCGCGTGAGAATTGGTTTGATCGGTTTCAAAAGTGCTTCTACTTATGTGCAATAAAATGGGCGTATCATGATTCTTTCGGAATAGTAGTGAGAAAAATTATGACAAAACATTAACAGATCTTTACTGTAAATTGGAAGTATGTGTAACTCTGCAGTCTCGCAAATAACGATCGGGTGTTGTACAGTACATTCCCGACTACACGGTAAGCAACAGAGATCTTAAATATTCCCCTTCGCAATCACTAACATGTCGAATACAATTCTTAGCTTCGAACACCAAAGCCTTTTTCCGTCGCCGCCTCCCCGAACGTTCGATTCCTATCGCAGACATGAAGCCAAATGATGTTATTGTCCTCATTACTTATCGGACTAATAATAGCATAGTCGCTGTCTTTAACTGGCGGAAGATCATTGTTGACGAGGAGGATTTTAGAACGTGGCATGTTTTACTTTGTTGCTTTTTTTGCTCGGGAGTTTTGTTTAGTTTTGAGACGGGGAGTTGTAGATACCTAGCATGATTTTCATTTTCTAAGCATACATTTTTTGGCCGATTGGAGGAAAAATATTTAGTGGCTTCTAACGGAAAAGAATTTATGACTTCTACGGAAAATACATCATGTACGATAGATTAATTTTGCAAAAAAGACACTCAAAGGACATTTGTTGGGAGCATCAATGAAAGATGGATGGCAACCTAAGGCTCTGGTGCTCTTTCTATTTTGAAATTTTAGTGTTTGTATATGTCGTATATAAATCCCGTCACCATATAAATCCCGGATTTATATATATAAATGCCGTACCACGATTTAT